GACCAGGAGTTGGACTCATAGATGACTCCTGTGAATCTCTTCCAAATCAGGATAGTCTGTGATTCTATGAACTCATTTAACTCAAAAGAAGACATGTGTTTGCATTTATTTCAAGACTAGGGCTGTTTTGGGAATATGGGAATGCTTTTTGAATTCTGATTTATAACCTTGCATTATTCTTCCTTAAACTGAAGCCACTGCCACTGTCCAGCAACTGATTTGGCTTCACTGGGGTCTACTCCTGCTATGTGCTTCATATCAAGCTATGTCCACCTTCTCTGTTTAGGTATTGAAGACTATAGCTATGCACACAGTGTCTTCTGCATCCTTCTGGAGATTACAAATTTGTCTTCTGACATTTAACATTAGTGATAATTTTAATGCAAGAGCAGAAATGCACTTGGAAACTGTCCAACAAAGCTTTTATTAAGGATTTCCAATATCATAAAAAAAAGAAAAGAAAAACAAAAGCTGCCTAGCAGACTTACTAATTTTTGAATAATAAAAATTAATTGGCAAAATGGGATTTGGAATTTCAACTTTTATAAAGGTATTATGACAGGTGAATTAAAGCTGTATTTTATTTATTATTTGCTTGTGCAGCTCTGAAAAATATTCTGGCTACGCTTGTCAGGCACTTTTGTAAACTGTCTTAAGCCTAACACTTGCATATTAGATATCTGCCTCTTCTGCCAAGTGACACTGCTATCCCTGTACCTCATGGCCACTTTTCTCCCTGGGCAGCAATGCTGCCAAAGGCATAGCAGTGTGCTGTCCAACAACATCAACTGGTCAAATAACAGCAAGAGCACTTAGAATCGGAAAATCCCAACACTGCCCTTGCTGCTGATCAGATCTTCAATTTAAAAAACCCAAAAAAATGATGCAATAATTGTCAATAACTTCTCTTAATTATGATTCTTCAAAAATAACAGACTGAGGATTGCCAGGAAATAACACTGTCCTAATGTCAGGTCTCCCCAGAAGTTAGTTTTGGACCAGTTTCTTAAAAGAGAATTTTTAAAATCTTTTAACATAATTAAGCAAATAATTAAATTTAGACATTATTAGAGAAAGACTACCACTACATCCTTGAGAATGAATACTTGTATTTGTCAAAAACAAATATATGCTTGAAGCATTTCTCTTGTACCTTAGAAAGAAATCTGTTCAGTTTGAACCTTTTATTATCAAAAATTAAGTTCTCTAGAATTCTTTGCTGAGGTACCAGGAAAGCAGCTATTCAATAACTGTCATTACTGTGGGATGCAGGGACATGATGGAGAGCTGCTGCAAATTAAACCAGACCCAATAACTCCTATCAGCCAAAGCTTACCACATGAGCTACTTTTTCCCAATCCCTACCTCCTCCTTCACAATTAATTTAAAAAGGCACCAGACAAAGAGAAAGAAACCAACAAATTAAAAAAAACCCATTATGCAAGGAAGAATTTAAGAATATTTCACTCATCTGTTTTCTCCAACACTTCCAATACCAGGGAAACAATTTTACTAAGAGGCACAAGGAACTAGTTGAAGCAAATACATGGAATCTGAACAATTTCAGCTCTGCAGGAATTTCAGGCAAACATCACTAAGGCCATATCTACAGTTGGAGTTCCCCACATCTCTTGTAAATTCCTCCATTAACAGTATGGCTCTTCAGCACACTGGGTACAGCATGCATGTACCTGAGGCCTCACTTCAGCAAAAACTCCTCACTGGGCCTTCAAACATGTTGCAGCAAATTAATTTAATCTTAAATTCAGCATCTGAGTTCTCAAAAGAACAGAGGTGGGTTGTGTTCAAATCTTTTATAGTACAAGCTGTGTTGCTGCCACTTGGAAAAAGAAAACCCTACAAAAACAGCTAGCCAATGAGCCACACTATATTAAGATCCATTTGAAGAACAATTAATTAGCAAGACACCAGTAGGATGTTACAGATTTTTACTTCCTCTATGGTCAGCCAATAATTAAATATTGATCAGTTTTAAAGAAACCAGATCATATTTGTGCATCTGAACTTGTCCTGTGCTTTCAGAAGAGATAAAACAGTTGAATTTTGAACCTCTTTACCATACTCTTGAACCTCTTTATCACAGTCCTCAACTTGACATCTGTATAAGAAAAAGCCTAAAACAAACCAAAAACCACAACACCAAACCCCACAACTTTGCTGCAGTTTTGAGATCTAGAAACAAACTGTTTCTATATTTGAGAATCTTTTTACATAATTTGATACAAATTGGCTTCAGAAGGTGTTTTTTAACTCATCAAACTGGATACAGATTAGTAAGTGTTGCACATGATTAAGTTAGGCTATTCACTTCGACAAAAAGTCAGTATAAAATACCTACTGTGGCCTACAAGGTCTTACTGTAAGTAATGAACAAAATGTGCTGGCCCAATTTCATCCCTGTTACAACAGAAATCAATTTAAGAAATCATTTCAATGAAGCAAAACTCAATCCCCTCCACAATACTGAAAGAGTACATGTGAAATTTCAAAATCTGTTCATGTGTACCTTGACTTGCACTCACTATATACTCTATACCCCTCTTCTGCCTAGCCTGTCATTGTACAGCATCAAGTCTGTGATTATATACTTTTAAATTCAGTGCCTCCATGAATGCTCACTCCCTGGATTTTGATTTTCTTTGTAGGTTTCAAATAACATTATTATCTCAGAGGGAGCTGTAATGAAATGTTATGCAAACTTTGTGAGGTGGATGGACGATATGAATATCTTCATTATTGGCCATAAGCGATCGTATGACAATGAGTATCCCATTCAAAATGATGCATCTCAAAGTAATTGGTTTGTCTCCTGGAGTGGAAGAGTGGAGTGTAGGAAATAACTTCTCTTGCAAGAGAACACTCAAAACTCTCAAAAATTCATCTGAATACAAAAAATAACAACCTTGCTCTAAAACTGTATAAGCAAAATAGAATTTATAATTAAATAGACATTTTATTTATATTCATGCAATAGCCTATCTGTTAAACACTCATGAGTAATGCAGTTGCCTTAAACCATAAAAAAAGTATTTTCATGTATCTACCATTAGCATATCAGTGTACTTTGGGGTAGTCAAAATAAGTGTAAATTAAATAAATATTTTATTGGAGGCAAGGGATATCAATGCTCCAATTTGTTTCTCTTTGCATTGTTTAAATAGGCTGTGGGAGTAAAAATAACTGGATCAACGAGAGGGAAACCCCCAGAAGAACACGCATTACAGATTACAGAGAAAGCTTTTCACACAAATGCTGCAGGGATATTGAAGACTGCTTTTGTGACAAAATACTGACTTAATAAAAATAATAATAACCCCCAGGAACAACAACAACAACCAAAAAAAAAAAAAAAAGGCAACAAAACCACACACAAAATAAAGGTTTTGCACTTTCAATCTTCAGGCAAGTTAAAGGCTATTTTCTTTCTTCCTGCTAATATTGTGGTAAGGTTTAATATACAGGTATCTGACCATTCAGCTACCAGATATCAAACTGTTGACAGATTAATCCACACTGCAATTAATAATTATTCATTTGATCACAGATATCAACATGTAGCAAAATCTGTTACAAAAGACACAGCTCAGATTTCTGTGCTTTCGATGTTTTAGCTGTACAAAGATAAGGCACTGACCTTTATTCTTGATTGACAATGGGAGAATACTTCAACTACAAGCTTACTACTGAAGCCTTGTCAGTGTGAAGAATCACAAAATTGTGTTAAAAGGCAGACAGAATTCAGTACCTTCCTCAACATTTGAAATGTGATCTTTCCAAAAGACCATCAGTTCTTGTCATTTCCCCGGAAGTATAAGCAAGTCAAGTTTGAGATTTCACTAAGAGGGATAAAATACTCTCTGCAGGTTAGGGGGAAGAGAGGGTTACAGTCTATGAACTACTTGGTAAAGGACCTTCTTTCAGGTTTCCTCTTCAAAGGACTCTACTATGCCATCTAGGATTTTCATGTAATAAAGACAATTTATCCTTCTTATCAGACCATTTCTATTCAAAGAGACTTGAGGTGGCTGTACCAGAAGAAATATTTTCCTGTACCTCTTGAAGTCAATGTGACTGTGATTGCAAATTACTCACTAATGTAAAGAACAGCAGACTGTTGCATTATGCAAGCCCATCCACATTCTTTTGCATCCCTGTAAATGCAGCCACTTCCCTGTCTTGATTGTACTGTACACTCTAACAATGGGTTTCACCTAATAAGCTATTCAGGAAACTTACATAGCATGCAGGTCATCTCAATCCATTTCCTTGCTGTTACAAGTAACATGAAGAATGCTTTCAAACATCATCTGAGACAGGAACACTTTGAAGCACCTTAAATTCTCATAAAATATTCACTAGAGCTATCCACAATATCAGTCTTATTGTGGCCTCAAACACATTTAAGTCATGTACTACTGCTGCAGCAAGAAAAGTCTTGAAGGAAATCTCTACCCCACGTAGGTAGAGCATGTTCAAAGTCCCATGCATGGAGAAGGAAAAGATGGGGGAGGGGGAGGATGAAAATTACATCTAAAATTTAAAACAAAACAAACAAACAAAAACCCAACCACCAGTTCTTTTAGCTATTCTAGAACTGCATTATAATCACCGTGAGATAAATGTTCTAACCTCCATCTGCACCATCCCAATCTTTTTCCTCCCACATCAGTGCTGAATTTGCTGGAGTAGAAGAAGGAATCAGCCAAGAATGTTAAAAAATATTTCCAGTTAGAAGGATACTTGTAAGTAGTTTGGAACAGTACTGACATCCCATTTATCTCAGATCTGACCACTATGGGACCTCTAAATAGCTCCTTTCTCTATCATTTGGGAAATGCCATGCCCAACTACTGGAGCAACACTTTTCTTCTGGAGTCCCAGCTGACAGATAGCCTAACAGAGTACATAGACAGAGGTCCAGAAATAAAAATAATAATAAAAAAATTTTAAAAAGTGGGGGGATAAAGAAGCTGGCTTACGTGCTCCAGTTTGTCTTTCCTCCTCAGCCAGACACTGGCACTGTAGTCCTGCTGCTTGACAGTGCTGTAGAAGTTCGCACCTACTCTGGTGAGGCTTGGGGAAGGCTCCCTGGGTCTGCTCTTCAGCCTCATCTGCTCGAAGCCCTCATGGGGGGATGAGGAGAGCCAGTCATGCCTGACTTCCATCTTGACATGACAAGGCAAAGTCCAAGGGGAAAAAATCAGAAGAAATCAAGAAATTAAGAGGTACTAAACGAAGATGGTCCAAAAAGGGACAGAATGGGAGAAGAAGAAAGAGAAGGAAATCAAAAAACCCCTTAAAACCAGAAAATGGTAAGAGAAGGGGGAGACAAGCAGAGATAAGGTAGGAGTGGAGGGAGAAAGAAAGGAAGGCTGCAGGTACGAGAGAGGAGCGGGCTGGGAGAGATGAAGGGGCACTCGGGAAAGAAGACGCTCCAAGATGCCGCTGCTTGTTGCCCTGGCCGCCAGGAAGCTGCAGTCCAGGACCGACGCAGCGGGAAGCGGCAGCCTGCGGCTCTGCCCGGGACGGAGGCGAGGGGCGGCGCGGCCCCGGCAGCCGAGGCCGGGCGGGGCTGCCGCCTCCAGCCCGCCTGCAGGTTGGCGCAGTGGAGGGGCCGCCGCCCGCCTGGGGATGAGCCCGGCTCCGCCCCCGCCTCCCCTCCCCGCAGCCACCTTCGGGGGAGCAGCCAGCGGCACGGGAGAGCCCCTTCCTTTTGACAGGAGCGGCCGCCGCCGCCCTCCTGGGGCCCCCCGTACCCCTGGGGAAGTTGTCTCGTCTGCTCTCCCCTCGTCCCGGCGGCACCGACCCACCCGCAGCCCGCCGAGGGCTGGGCGGCCGCTTGCCACTCCCTCTCCTGGAAGCCTTTGTCCGATCTCCCCACGGCGGAGCTCCCGGGGCCGCCGCCCGCTGCCCTGCCCAGCCCATCCCGGGGTGGGCTGTGCCCCTCACCCCGCCCGGCCCCGCCGCGGCCAGCGGGGGATGCGGGGCTGCGGCCGCCGGGGCCACCGCGGGGCCTCTCCCGCAGCACCTCGCCGTCACCGCGTCCCCTCCCTCCCTGGGCAGGGGCTCACGGTTCTCTCGGGCGTAACCAGACCGAGCTGCCGGCCCTTTCGCCGGGGCAGCCAGGAGCGCACCTCGCCTGACCAGAAGGAGAAAGCCCCGGCTCGGCTCCGGTCCGGGTCCGAGTCCCGCCTGGAAGCCCCCGCCGCCGCAGCGACTCAGCCGGCACCAGACCTCAGGAATCGAACCTCTTCTGTGGTCCCGATGGACAGGGTCGCTGGGATGCCCACATTCGTAGATCCCTGGCATCTAGGATTTCTCTCATAAAATAAAAAGACCTTCTAGGGTGGTTTCTATAGTCCGCTGCCACCTCTTTTAGTAGAAGTTGATGTGTGTTGCTATTTAGCTCAAACGTGTTTCAGCAGAAAAAAGGACTTTCCTTTTTCACACTATGAAAAGCCACCTCGCTAATTGCCCACACACTCTGTAAAGCTATATTAGGCATAGACAAGAAAACTTTCTCACACTGCGTATCAAGAAATATTTACTGGAGCTCAGAACAACATTTCAGTTTCCTGGTCAATATTTGTCATCGGGCAAGTGTTTGCATATATTCCAGTCCTTTGGAAATAGGTGACTCTGAGTATGTATGACTGATACATCAGCATCTGCAGATTTATTTTTTTTTCCCCTGCTACACAACTACACTGATGTCGCTATTCTGATAAAGGGATGCTGAACTAGAGGTCTACACTCGAATGCAATTAACTGATAATAGCTTTTGAATGGTAAAGAAGTTCAACCAGACAAATTTCTGCGAAAATTACAGCAGAGCCCTCGGCTAATCACTTGATCTACAGAGTGCTACTTCCGTCTGATGAAAAAGTAAATTTAAAATATCCTTATGATTAGATTTAAGGTTTATTACTGTAAAATAACAACCAGAAACCAGACAGATAATTAATTTTTTCCTGTCAAGATTCTAAAGATAAGACAAAACTCACATCACAACTCATAATTGAGGATTATTTATAATAGATAATAGTAGTATATTTGTGAAATACTGGAAAAATAAACTCAACAGTAGCAGAGGTTTGATAGGAACATAAATTACAGCATCTTCCTCTAAAACTAGAAACAAAATTTCAAAATCCTTACCTAAATAATACTACAAAAATGAGTGTAACAAAATGCTAACAACCAGAACCATCAATATTATATACTTTTCACTCACCAGTATAAAGGACTTGTAGTTTTCTTTCTATTAACTTTCTAGTTTCTTCAGTTAGGAAATGTAGGTATTTCCAGGATTGTCAATACAGCCTCAAAACACCTGGATCAAGAAAGAGACCTATGTGATCCTGCTGCATGCAGGACACACTGGAAGTCACTGAGATTTAATGTATGGCACATCTCAGCTGCAGCAGTTTTAAGCTCACACAGAATAACTTGATTAGAGATCTGCTGAACTGAACTTGAGCTGCAGATGCCCATTTAGGAATTCTATATGCTCATACATGCACCTATTCCCAAAGGACTGGAATAAATGCATACATTCAGTCAGAAGAAAGGAAAAGAAGGGAAAACAAAAGATCCTCTTTGTTTCTTCAAATACATAATATCCCAACAGGTGTACGTATACATACATGTATATATAGCGTTCTTGTAAAACTGCATGTGCAATAAATCAGGAGAGCCTGCTTTATGCTGCTTTTGCATAAGAATTTTCACATTGTTTCTCTAGCAGTACATGAAGCACTTCAACCTTTTCGTCATCCTTCTGATCTTTCTTGGTTTTGCTGCTTGCAAATATTCATAAAGAAGTTGTTAGTGTCACTTTGCAGTTGCCCCCTGCTTTGCCCCCCATCCCTTAATACTGTAACAGAATCAATGTGCCACTGTACTTGAGTACAAGGCATTGTCTCATTCCCCCATATGTACTGCATTAAGGCTTTTTAGTTAGCAATTGGGTAGGGTTAATTTATCCTACCTTCCCTAGCTGCACTACCAGCAGAGCTTCTCAACTGCCAGAGGAATGTCTTTCTGCCTATCCAGGACAGCCAGATAATGGAGTCCTAAAGTTGCTTTTAGTCTCTAGGCTATGAAGAGAGAGTTTGCTCCTCTTTCCAAACACCCTCTTTGACATGTAGGTGTGCTGCTTTCTACTACTACTACTGCCAACATTATTATTATCTCAGTCCTACTCTCACTAGGAATGAGAGAGAAAAGGCAAAAAAAGAAGCCTGGAAAAAGTCTGTTAAAATCATGCGAACAAGCTGTGCTTGCTAAGCCTTTCTTGCTTGCTGACCCCAAGCAGAAAAGATTTCTAGTGGGAAAACATAATCTAATGACTATAAATTATTGTGTTTTCATAAAAATTTTACTCAGGCAAAGTAATAAGCTAAGAATACAATGTCAGTCCCTAGTGAATACGTGGTTATTAATCTAATTTGAAAAGAGTAAAGAACTGTTTTCCAGATTTCGTGTTCCAGTTTATTTCCAGGTTAGATCTATGCAATCCCCCCCCCCCAGTTTTGTTCAAACAACCACAAGCATATCAACCAACTTAATTCAAAGATAATTCAACTCATTAAAATTCAATCAGTTCTGTAGTAGATAAGCAATTCCAGTTGGCTGTATGAGCTGGATTAAACTGCTGTCTTTCTCTTCCACGCAATTTTCAGAATTACCCAAACACCTGCTCCTGTCAAGGCCCTTTGCTTCCATACCCAGATGACTATAGCAGCAAGGATGACTGAAATTACAAACATCACACTTATATAATTAGCAATAGATGCAAGTCATGCATATAATTCATTATATGATTTTACCTTACCATGGTTCAGGTTAGAATTTTCTTCAATTCGCTGCCCATCTTATCAAGATTCAGAGGAACTCCTTTAAAGCAATCTACAGAATTTTCCATTTTCTATACCAACAGGATGAATGCTGTAGGGGGCAGAGTTAACTCAGGCCAATACAAAGAAAATTAGGATATAAGTGGAAACATGTAGGTAGGGCTTCAACAGATTTACTTTTTTAAAAAGACAGCTTCTATTTCTTCCAAAAAATATTATCTAGATAAGTTTTAAAGGACCTTTTCCCTGTGCTCCAGCTTTCTAAACACATTTTTTTTAAATGAAGGGGTTCTAGCAATTCAACATATCTACAAGAACCTTAGACATTTTATCAGCAAATGGCATATACCTAAAACTATAAAAACTCCTATAGCAAAACTTTATTTTGGTTGCATAGCAATACTTGCATGCATGCACCTGTAATAGATTCAAAGCCTCCTTACAAAGTACTAATTTCTAATGCAGAGCTGGGCTGCACACAAGCACTGACCCACTTTTTAGAATATACCACACCTGACCAAAACAGCAGGTAGGAATTGCCTTGCAGGCTTCAGCTGCTGTCCAGTCAGAGGGCTGTGACTGACACCAGCTCCAGTAGCAGTGCTGGGCCAGGCAGCCGGGTGGGAAGGGAACTGTCACCTGCTTACCCAGCTCAGCCTAATTTGCTTTCTCATCTAGGAATTGACAAAAACACTCAAATGGACAGATCTTTTTAACCTTCCAATAACACTGGCCTGTTCCCGATTAAATTAATCGTCTTTCAAACAATTTTTAGACTTACCAAAACACCAGCTCCTTCCTAGCTCCCCTAATTCATCAGCCTACAAAGAAAAACCCACTGCAGCAAGCTGTTTCCTCTATGCTGATATGCTGGCCATGTCTCCAAGCCTATCTGCTACTACATTCTGGAAGTAGCTGCCTATCATTGAAACATGGGTTTGCAAAAGGGAAGGACCAGAGAGGGGAAAATAAAAGAAAGAAAAAAGAGATTATTTTTTTCCCTTATAGTGCAATGTCCTACAGAGCCAAGCACAAGGTCAGAATAGTAAAAGTCACTAGATGTGCAGTAGGAAAAAAGTAAGAAAAAAGCTAGACTGCTACATTGAGATTTATAAATAATTTGTGCATTATTTCTTTGTCAAATCCTATGCAGCACAATATGAAACCTTTATACCTTTATCTTCAATTTTTGGACAAGAATTGCAGTTAGAAGTATGAAATGGGAGGGTCAAATCTAAAGTTAAGGGGAAATTTTGGAGTTGGAGGTGCTTCAGATTTCAGGTTATGAACATATCAGACACCTACCT